GTCGGTGACGGTAGCAGCAGCAGCAGGTCGCCTTTGCACCTGCATTTTACCCTTCTTGGTGGGGGGATTGCACTTCCTCCCAGCCATTACGTGGTTCGCCGGGCGACCACTAGCGGCACAGACCGCACAGTGCGGCGTAACAGCATCGCAGGATGCCGCCATATGCCCTTGCTTTCCGCAGCGGTAGCAGGTGTCCGCCCTCTCCGCCGTGGACGGACACATTGTGCGGGTGTGCCCTATGCCGAAACACTTAAAGCAGCGTAGGGGTCGCTCTTCAAGTGCCCGGACCACGGCTGAGCTGAACCCAATCAGGAGCCGCCCCTTGGTTTTAACAAGGACGGCCTTGGCTGCGGTGACTGGACAGTCCACACGGGTTGTGCCCAGACCGCGGCGGCCAGTCCTGATGACTCGACCTTGCACCGACTCGACAGGGCAACCTCCTGCTGCTGCAATGGCCGCCACCACTTCTTCCTTGGAGACGGAGTCATCCAAGTTGGCGACCTCTAAAGTCGCGGACTTGACTGGCCTGGCGACCTTCGCTACGTCCGCGATGCCCTCGCGCAATTTGGCTGCGAAAAGGTCCGCATTTTGCGAACCCAATGCACCGGGAAACTCAAAGATTCGAGCTCCAGTTTGGGTACGGCGGCAAGTGACGGCCCCAATCCCCAACTGGGTGGGATCAGCATGGGCACGAGCCCGCGTCAATACGGACTCGTATGTTTCGCCCTTTTCGGCGGCCTCGGGGGTGATGGTCACCGTAACCGCCGCCGTTTTGGGAGCCGCCAGTTTCCTCCCTTTGGCTGCGGGAACAGCAGAGGCCCTATTGGTTGTGGAAGTAGCAGGGGCGGGCTTGGAGGCCGCTTTCCTTCCTTTCCCTCGCTTCACCACCTCCGTCCATGTTTCGGTGGGAGCAACGGCAGAAGACTCCAGCACGTCCCTTTTCGGACCCAGAGGAGCTGTTTGGGTCGTTTCCGGCTCAGCTTCACTCGTGCTGGATGTAGGTGGAGCCGCTGCCTTTGTGGTCTTGCCCCGTCCTTTGCCCTTAGAAGGCTTTGGGGCCTGGGGCAGTCCGCTGGTGGTTGCAGCTACTGGCGGTGCCAGTGCTGCAGATTGCGCTCTGTCCGCCGCGAGTGGAGGGCGGATGCGCTTCTCCGGCAACAGCCGGTCCTCAATGCCCGCAAAACAGGCTCTGGTGAAGGCCCTTTCCTCCATTATAACCTTTCGGATTATATCCTCAAAGTTGGAGGAGGAGAAAGAGGAAGGGCCTGTTGCCACCGCGTTGCTGGCCGATGGAGCTGTGGCTTCAGCCAGTTTTTTGTGGAGGTCGCTGACCTCAGCTTGAAGGCGATCGACCCGCGCCTGCAGTTGCCGCGACTCCTCCGTCGCCGTACGCTGCACCAGCTCCGCGATAATGCCGTGCATGCTGGCAGCACGACATTTGAGGGCTTTCTGGAAAGTCCCTTTCAAGTTTGAGGACTTAGAGGCGACCTCCACTATCTCCTCCTTGTCCTCCAACGCCATTTGTGCCAATTCAGCAACCGAATGGTCCGCGTACAGGACGTTGGACGCCCCGTAGCCGGCCCTGGACCTCGTGGCGCTTGTTGCGCGCTCTTTGGCAGCGACCTTCTCCTCCAGGTCCTTCTGCCCCTCCGCCCGTCTGGTTTGCGCCAGAGACGCCCTTAATTGGCGTTGTGCCTCATCGAGTCCCACGTCGCGGGCACTCGATTTGGCCTTGACCTTTCGTTTGGTCTTGCCGAACGACTCCAAAGAGTCGTCCGACTCGAGCCTTACGTAGGCCCGCTTTAGTTCATAGCGGCTGGTGGCCGCCTGCGACTCGGTTGTGGACTCCTCACAGTCCGACAACTCGTCCGCCCGACAAAACAAGGTAGCCGCAGATGGTGCGCGACTAGCCTCCGACAACGTGTCGTCGGTTTGGCCCTGAGAAGGGCCGTTGGGTTCGCCCTGAGAAGGGCGTTTTGTAAGGAAGCGCCCGGAGGCGTCCCGCAAAGGCTTCGACATTGAAACAGACGTATTCGTACTGCACCGCAAGGAAAACGTACGAATTCACAGCGCTCGTTAGCCGCCGGTCTGCCACTCCGTTACGGTGGTCAGACACGGCGTTGCCCGGGGATCACTACGAGGAAGTCAGAACTGTGGGGGGATCCCCAACCTAACCTTTTTTTTTTTTTTTTTTTTTTTTTTTTTTTTTTTTTTTTTTTTTTCGCCCGGGGAAAATGCCGTGCATACCCGGCCTCGCGGGGCCGTGGCCGGGTTATGTGGGGCTCGAACCCACTAAAAACCCCGGGGTGTGCCACTCACGCATGAGGGCGGGCCACAAGAACTGTACTTTCGCACTTCGTTCGCGACCCGCCCTGCGCCAGCGCCGGCGCTTCGTCATGCCGGGCTCCTTCTCCTGCGGGCGGCGCCCGCGCACACCGCGGATGCCGCCCCCTCTCGGGGCGCTGCGACGTGGGCTACCGGTTGCTCCGACCGGCCGCCCCCTGCCCCACTAGCTACTAGGGAGGAGGAAGGAGGCGGGCATACCCGCGCCTCCTCCGTCCCGTTCGCCGTCTTCGCGTCGGATGCGAGAGGGGATCGTCCTCCCTCTCGCGCTCCGACGCCTCCTTCTGCGACATGACTGCGTCGCAGAAGGAGACCATCGCCTCCCACGACCTCTGGCCGCCGACCATAGCACTGACTACGGCAGGCAGCGAGAGGTCGGCACCGACAACAGCCACCAGGCTCGCCCTCTCCGATGCCCACTGGGGGCACTCTGCCAGAGTGTGCTGCGCCGTATCTTCGACGCAGCCACACTCGTGGCAGACCGCCGTCGGCTCCCTCCCGGCAATACGGCACAGGTATTGACCGAAACACCCATGTCCGGTCAGCACCTGCACCAGCCGGAAGGTGAGCACCCCCCGTTTACGGTCCACCCATTTCCGAAGATGCGGGCGGACCGCCTCCACGAGCCTGACGCCCGCCGTGGGCGCCTGGAGGCGCCACTCCCACCGCACGAGGAGGGCCCGTCGCGCCTCACGCCGCCACCGCTCGATCACCTCGAACGGGGCGGCCCGACCGCAGGCCCTGGTCTCCGCCTTCCTCGCGTAGACGACCGCGAGGACCTCCGCCTCGAGGTCCCACGGTGGAGACCCGGCCAAGAGGCAGGCCGCCTCGTGCCCCACCGTACGGTACCCCCGTATGACCCGCTGCGCCATGACCCTCTGCGGGCGGCGCAGCTGGGCCCTGTTCTGGGCCGACAGTGCGTCGACCCAGATGATCCCCAACCTAACCTAACCTAACCTAACCTAACCTAACCTAACCTAACCTAACCTAACCTAACCTAACCTAACCTAACCATGGTCATGGTGAGCAGCATGACCCACCGTTTACCCTAAGCGAGCTCCAAAGGTCCATGTTGTCGTTTATGAACCTATGCCTGGCTCACCACCACTTCCCGAAAATCTGGAAAGAGACGACGGTGGTTGTAATGAGAAAGCCAGGCAAAGACACGTACACCACACCCAAGTCCTACAGGCCGATTGGGCTCTTGCCTGTCTTGGGGAAAGTGTACGAAAAGATGCTGGTTGCTCGTCTGAAGTTCCACTTATTGCCGAGGATTAGTACTCGCCAATACGGATTCATGCCCCAAAAAAGCACTGAGGACTCCCTCTTCACCTTAGTGAAGTATATCCGCGGCAAGCTAGAGGAAAAGAAAATTGTTGTACTTGTATCGCTGGATATAAAGGGAGCATTCGACAGCACATGGTGGCCGGCGATCAGAGTCCGATTGGCAGAGGAAAAGTGCCCAATCAACTTGAGGCGGGTAATAGATAGCTACCTCAGTGGCAGGGAGGTGGCAGTCAGATACGCGGGAGCCGAGAGCAGACGTCGAAGGGGTGGGTCCAGGGTTCAATCGGTGGTCCCATTCTGTGGAATCTTCTCCTGGACCTGCTCCTGAGACAGCTGGAAGTCAGAGGCAACTATTGCCAGGCGTTCGCGGATGACGTGGTGATGATTTTTGACGGTGGTACAGCCCTGGAAATCGAACGACAAGCCAATGCCGCTCTCGAGCATGTGCGTGCGTGGGGTGTCAGAAACAAGCTGAAATTTGCACCGCACAAAACCAATGCCATGGTAATCACGCGAAAACTGAAGTACGACACCCCACGCCTGACCATGGGCGGGATCGACATTGGAATGTCAAAAGAGGTGAAGATCCTGGGGTTGACGATCGACGCCGGCCTCACCTTCAACTTCCACGTCGCTGGTGCTTGTAAAAAAGCTATTGCAATTTATAAGCGCCTAGCCAGATCTGCGCGGATGAGTTGGGGACTGCATCCGGAGGTCGTGCGTTCGATCTACACCGCCGCTGTCGAACCGATAGTGCTGTACGCTGCGAGTGTATGGGCGCCAGTCGTGGACAAACTGGGGATAAAGAAGCAACTGAACGTGGTGCAGAGAAGCTTCGCTCAAAAGCTCTGCAGAGCCCATCGCACGGCCTCACTGCACTCGGCTCTCCTGCTGGCTGGGATACTCCCCCTCGATCTTCGAGTTCGTGAAGCTGCTTCATTGTACGAAGCAAAGAGGGGGGTGCCCCATCCAGCTTTGGGGGATAGGGAGATAGAGAAGATGACACGTGCGGTGGACTTTCCTCACCCGGCCGAGCAGGAAACGTTGGAGTTCAACAGCTTGGTGGACGAGGAACAATACAACAACCACGCCTCGAACTACGACCGCGGGGCACTACACGCGGCGATAGCCCTTTGGGGCACGCGAAGGGCGGTGGCGTTCTCCCTCCTGCGCAGGGAGTCCGCCCAAACTGGAGCCCCATAAAGGGCCATGATCCGTAGTATGCCGGCCCAACCAACGGTCAGGGATTATATAGGGCTCAGCGACTACCGCCACGTCCACCAACCAATCTGCCATAGACTGCACCAGCAGGTCTTGGGCCGCTCTGCAGTGGTTGGTGTTGGCCTGTAGGATGCGATGACTGGGCCCCATTATTCAATCATCGCATCACCCTCATCGGCTTCCGCGACCGGTGTCTCGGCGGAGGTAGCTGCAGCTGCAGGTCGCCTTTGCGCCTGCATTTTGCCCTTCTTGGTGGGGGGATTACATTTCCTCCCAGCCATCACGTGATTCGCCGGGCGACCATTAGCGGCACAGACAGCGCAGTGTAGCGTGACGGCATCACAGGATGCCGCCATATGCCCTTCCTTCCCGCAACGGTAGCAGGTGTCTGCCCTCTCAACTGTGGACGGACACATTGTGCGGGTGTGCCCTATGCCGAAACACTTATAGCAGCGTAGGGGTCGCTTTACTAGCTTTTGCCCGCGACTTCGTTCGCGTGGAATAGTGACTTCCGGCAGATTTTTCGTTTTACACACATAGTTCCGATCTCTTCAAAAATAAAATGTGGAAGATATTCTAGGGAACTCTTCAAAAATCAACATAATGAGCTCTGCGTTTGAATTGAAGATATGTATACTCACTTGGGGCATTAAAGCCGTTATTGCCGTTCGAAAAAGGCGAAAATGTTGTTATTCCCTTATTTTCAAAATATTATTTTGATTTGCCATTCCAGAAAAAAAGACTGTCTCCTTTGACAAATTACCTACTCCCTTAACAACCAAGCTTAAATCTGTAATTAACTTAAAACTATATAAAAGAACGATCTAATTAATTTAAACATTAAAATGAATTTAGACATACAATTTTATCGTTCGTATCTACTAATAATCAAGATCAAAGTAAATATACATTTTACAACAACCAGACAACCCAACAAATAAACCTTTTAATCTACTATTACGACGGAACCAATTTTAGATTTACGAAACGATCAATCCTCAATTCCACGACAGTACCGAAGCACTCTGCCGATACCCAACCAAATACGTGTAACGAAACCATAGCGCGATCAATTTCGATCTTAACACCATCTATCGAGCATAGTGACAACTCGGATTATTTATACTCCGTTCGGGCATTTTCGTTGTACTAAAAGTTTTATTATATTGTTATTATTTTTTCATACCTTTTTACTATTTATTTACTTTTTTCCGATGGATTAAAACAATAACATGAACCGAACTCGTGTAACGATCGACACCATTGCGCGATCACCAACTCGATAATAAAATTATCTATACTTCGTTAGAGCATTTTATTTGTACTTAAAGTTGTATTTTATTATATTTTTCACACTTGTTTACTCTATAAGTACATTTTTCCGTTGAATTTTCAGTACTGAATTGATGTCGACTCTATACCAATAGATGGCGCTGTATGTACGCAATAAATTTTATTTTTTATTCTATTTTTTGTAATAAAAACTACCCTATGTCCTTTCTCAAGTTCCACACTATGTCTGTACCAAATTTCACACAAATCGGTTCAGTAGTTTAGGCCTGAAGCAAAGACAGACAGACAGAGTTACTTTCGCATTTATAATATTAGTATGAAGTTTGAATAGTTTGAATTGAATATTAGTTTGAAAGTTTGAATAGTTTGGATTGTAGGGATTGATCTCAGAGGTGAAACACCGTATTATCAAAAATCACGCTTTATTTAGTTTAAGCATACTAAAATAGTACAATAATATCGGTACAAGTACGCCTGCACTCTTCGACTGTTACCGCTGTGATGACTGCTCGACGCACGTCGTCGCGGCACCCCCACTACGCGACCTCGCGGGGAGGACGCCACTGCGACTCAAATAACAACTGTACTCATGACTTATCTCCTTTTACAACTGTAAATATCATTACTATTAGGAATTCATTACAAACTACTATTAGCATGTTACTAAGTAGGTACTGCCTGACTTCTATCGCCTCACACAGGCGGGAGTAGACATTCGATGATTTTTCCCCCCTTAAAAAAAAGTAAATTGTTACAAAAAGGTCATACGAGGCATCGCTCTGCAGGGGGAGGTAGAAGCCAATCAGAAACTGCGCGATTTGGTAATTTGATACTTAATTATATGATAAGAAAATTAAGAATGTTAATACAGTGTTAACCGTGTAAAGACTTGCGGGATGTTAGCAACCGTTGCACTGTTGCAGGCGAATGCAGGAGTAAGAGGTCGGCATCAGTTAGTAGTAGTGATCTGAGCAGTGGCGAGTGGTGGAGGGAGGGAGGGAGGGAGGGGTGCGCGCGCCGCGGGCGGCGGCGGCCGGGCGGCGGGGCTCGGCTCGGGTCGCGGCGCGCTGCAGTGTGGCGCGGCGTTACGTCACGCGAGCACCTCCGCGCACAGAGTCGCCTCGCGACACGCGACTCGCGCCCGACACACGCCCGCCCCGCCGAGTCGCGAGTGAGTGCTGTGACCGCGTCAGTGATGACTACAAACAGGTAGCCCCTGGCTACAGCTGCCCAGTGATCGCTAATGGCGAACAGTTCCGTTCAGTATGAGTGTCTGGTCACATTTTAATGGAAATAGTATGTACCTTCTTCTATGATACAGCAAGTTACCACTCGTTGAATAGGCACAGTCATACTGTTAAAATATTGGATTGTGTCGATTGGAAGTGCGCCCGCTCTTCCACCACGTTCTATTAAGTCCGTGGCGGGCCGACAGGTCTGGTCGGAAGAGGAATGATTAGATAGCTCTGGCTATGTGCGCGAGGCGCTAGATACACGTTGGCTGCTCGATGCTCGAAGTCGTTTAAGTCTGCCTAATGACTTGTACGAATGTTTCAGTAACAACAAAATACTGACATAAGTCCATTACATATTATTCTCAAATAACTAGTTATTTAACATGAAGCAGGTACACTGTGCCTACAATGGACTGACTTGACTAGTACTTGCCCAGCACTCCCTGCCGCCTACCAGACAGCGGCGTACTGAACTGAGACGTTGAGACACGTGCGGCGTACTGTTTTTTCCTGTGAGCTAGATATAATCATAAATCTTACATGAAATGTATGTTTTGGTTTCAGAGGCTAATGACGTAGGTAATAACAATGATAAGCTTATTATGAAGTAAAATATTCATCGCTTATTGTTAATGTTCACACAACTTTACGCCTGTTGTACCAGTAAACTGATAGCAGCTGAAAGTGCGGTAAGGGGTATAGACCCCTTACCGCACTTTCATTCACGTACCCACGGGCTCAATATCTGTAATTTTGTGGTTAGTAACGTGACGGGAGTAGATATAACTAGATTATGATGTTCTAAACGTTGAAACTGGAAATGCGTCTAACGAATCTACTAAGGTTTTTTCCTATGTCATAAGTAGATAAGTACTAGGTACGTTTACGCTCACACAGAAGTATATAAGTGGCCACTTTTCATTAAATCAAGACGTCAGTCAGCTTTCATATACAATTTGTGGCAACATTATCGACGCGCGCAGAACAGCTGTTGTTGTGTTGAGCGCCATGTTCGACAACCTTTTGGAAAAGTTGCAGTTACATGCATGTCAGGCTATCTAAGTATAATATAGTGGCGGACTAGCCGGAGGCCTTAATGGGCGGTCCACCACTGTGGGATCCCCAAACGCCTCCATCTGTCCCTTGTCAAATCCTAAAATAAAATATATTTAATACTAGTACAAGGCTTAATCTTGCATAAAATTTGGCCACGCTTCGGTACGAATGGGCCGGTTCGACCGGGTGATACCACGGCCTCACAGAACACCGACGTGAAATAACGCTTGCGCTGTTTCACGTCGTGTGAGTTAGGTTACCGGAGGCCCAATTACGACTCTTCACGATCACGTCGCCTAGTTCGAAGGATTTTCCTTTTCATAGGGAACTTTAGGTACTCTCTGTTCCTTAAATTTTTTTTTTGTGAAAATAAAAACAAAACATTAATAATAGACTTTATAAAAGAGAAAAGAAATTAACAATAATCATTAAAACATAACAAAATATAATTAGAATAATAACCGAAACTAAAAAAAACTAAAAACAAAAAAAAATATATATATATAAAACAAGGAACGAGATATAAAAATTATAAAGTGCGCGTGCCCAGGCCAAAAGGTCGACCGCCTCAGCATATAGTTGAGCACCTTATATGTTTTTTAACTCGTCGAGTACCGGTTTTATAGACACAATTAAAGAACAATAGGTCGCGGTCACCGGTGACCGCTTGGTGTTTGACAGTTTAAATGTGTATTTGAATGTAAAATGTGGGTGTTTTTTTTTAAGTAAAACAATAAAACATCGGTAAAAAGAAATCCACAGGGCATTAGGGATGTTGAGAGGCCTTTTTGGGAATGTCAGACTCTTACTTACTAAAAAAAAACCACCCCGTTCCTACTCCTGCACTTCGAGCCGGAGCCCCGGCACCTCGTTAAGTCTTCCGCGGCTCCGTATCGGCATCAGCCATGTTGGGCCCCATCTGTGGTGGTCTGATGGCTCCTCGAGCGTGGCGGAACGCGACTGGTTCTAGTCGGGCGGCGAGTCAAATGCTCGCTGTCCGACTAGAACCGTGGTTACGGTGGCCGGACCGGAGATCGTCTCGCGATCCCCGACGCCCGGAATGTCTCTCGCAATGGCCGGGGTGTGAGGAGGTTCGTTCCCTCACGCGCTCCGCCTCCTCTTTAGCTAGCATGACTGCTTCGCAGAAGGAGGAGACGGCATCCCAGTCCCCCTCGCTCAGTACCATTGTCTAAACCAGAGCCAGACGCGATAGGTCGCCGTCGCAGATCACATCCCTAAGGACACGGCGGTGCTCAGCCCACGCAGGACACACCGCCACCGTATGCTCCTCCGTGTCCTCCGGGCGATCCTCGCAATAATGACACTCGGGCGTTTCCACCCACCCAATCCGAAACAGGAACCTACCGAAACTATGTTGAGAGGCCTGAAGACTAGTAAATGACTCCTGTCAACCATTACAATTTGGCACACGATGCACCAAACACCTTGTACTATTTGGAATACATGTATCCATCGCAAGCTATCTCTCCAAGATGAACACTAAGCAAAGTATAGTTATATATTGTGATCTGTTGTTGTTATTCATTAACTGCCAGGCGTGATATTCAAATTCAAATTCAAAATTTTTATTTCAGATAAAACATCCATATTTATGTTAGTAGTAGTACAACTTAGCCTAATGTTAGTAAATTATAATAATTATATGTTCATTACTTTATTTGGATAAGTGAGTCTGGATACTTATCCATCTACGTAACAGGGGAGAGTCCCACCGGTCAATGAACACACTCAGGATGCCATTGGAGGAAGAACGCAGGCGCGCCAACATTGAGGCGCATCTCTTCCGCATGATCGCGGCGAACCCATCCACACATGCATCCGCGAACATCCCTGACGCGCTACATCGCCACGGCAACCCCAAAAGCACCCTAAATGCGCCATTGTACTGCACGCGCAGATCGCTGTATGCCAAAATACCTACCCCGAATTATATTTACATCAAAATGAGACGCCGCGCCTGAGAGAATGTTCAACTTTTTTATTTTATTGTCTGCGTCTATGGCTCTTGATCAGTTGCGTTACATTCGTATGGACATAAGTGCTACTCATAGATGTGTTTCAGCAAAACGCTCAACATGTCTTATAGATTTACTAATTGTATGAATAAACATTTATAAAGCTTCGTCCGCCGCCCGCCTCGCGCTTCTCGACACTCGTTTTCGCCCGGTGCTGTAGTAGGTAGTTTTTCTTATGTTGTGATTATGTCAGTGTGAATGGCTTCTTTATGCAGGAAGTGCAAGTAAAAGTCCTCCATGTCCATGTGCGACGTGCGACGTGATAAACAACGGACGATATCAACCGTAATAGATATCTTTCATAAAGTATAAACCTTGTGTTTGGGCTTGTATAATTTGTATTGAAGAACTTTGTACCCATGTGGATTATAAGTGGCAAACCGGGTCTATGTAGGTTTTCACTAAAAATGATGAAATAAAAAAAATAAAAAATAAATATCGGAGGATGATGTCGGCGATGTTGAGCAAGAGCCCTCTTCGTCACATATACGGTAAAGGTATGTTTATACAGCAATAAATCTTCGTAAAAAAAGTAATGTTTACTTTCCATAGTGCACGTTGACTTAAAGTTCAAAAATGGTTGAAGTACATCAAAGTTTCCACTCCACTCCACTCTCATTGTAATAATATTCACCGTTATAATCTCAAACAATATAATCTCAATGACAATTTCACAGCACTGATTCTAATGATTGCAATCACTATTCGGCCGACAGTGTATCGTTGTTTGTTCGGAGTCCACTCTTAGGCGGACATGACGTCACAATTAACTGTTGAAGCGCGTCATCTTTATTCATTTTGTTGTTATTCCTTCGTTGTGTAGTAAATCGAAATCCCGTACTAATGACCGTTCCGACATAAATGAATAAATAACAAAAAGTAAAAACGAACAAGCAAAATGACTATTATTTGGTCTGATAGGTTACCCACCCACTGACAGGTTAGAAATCAGTACTGTGTGCGTGCGACGACCGGTTTCCACGGTGCAAAAATGATACCAGCTACAACGAACATCCTTCCATCAAAATATCTCCCATAAATATTTCGGTACTCTCTCTCTCCTGGTGCTCCAGTTGTCCATAGATTGCTTACCATCAAGTAATCCGTCTGATCGTCTACCGCCTTATCCTATTAATAGTAATACTAAAATACGAAAATAATAGTATTTTCGTCATTTATTACTAGTAATTTCGAATTTGTTTTTAATTTAATAATCCCGAGGGAAAACCAAAATATTAGTATAGATGGCGCTGTGTGTCATTTAAACTAAGTCAACGAATTACCTACACTTATTCGGTAAACTTATCGACTCATTTAATGCTGTTTTGTAAGTCAACAAATAACTAATTGGTATCTATGTAGTAGTTACTCTACGTAGCGATAGATGGCACTGGGTGTTCTTAAAAACGTGGCGATGTGTTTTTTAAGTATTTTTCGCTTTTAAATTATTTTTTATTAGTCACGTGTTTTTTTTATATTTGATGGGGCGACGTTTGGCCACTATCTCGGCTGGTGGTAAGCGATGATGCGGTCTACGATGGAGCACGTTGTCCCATAAGCAACCTATTCACTCGGGCCTTGAAGACTCCCAGGTTATACCCTTCAGGAAATACAGACTCTGGCAAAGAATTCCACTCTTTAGCAGTACGCACAAGGAAGCTTGAAGCGAAGCGCTTCGTGCGTGTGGGCGGAACATCTACCATGAATCGGTGACGCTTCGCCGATTGTCTTGTGGTACGATGATGGAAAGAACTAGGGGGAATCAAGTTGTGCAATTCCCCCGTACACTCACCGAAATGTATCCGGTAGAAAAAAGCTTGCAACCTTACGCCTGTGTTCGAGGCTTTGAAGCCGAGCCTTCACAAGCGCATCATCGTCGATGAGCCTCCTGGCACGCCTCTCAATATGCTCTAACGCGTCCAGCTAATATTTTGCCGAGCCGTCCCAAACATGAGAGCAGTACTCCATACAGCACCGAACCTGTGCTTGGTACAGGCTCAGCAATTGTTTCGGCGTGAAGTACCGTCTCACCCTCCATAGGACACCCAACTTCCTACCAGCCAGTTGCGCTTTTGACTCTATATAGGAACCAAAGTTGAGTGTGGGCGTCAGAGTTACACCAAGAAGCTCAAGATGATCGGTTATCGGTACGGATACATTCCGGAAAGTAGGAGTCAGCGGAAATTGACTTCGTTTGGCGGAGATTAGACAGGCCTGGGTTTTGCTAGCATTGAACCTAACCAAGTTGGCGTCACCCCAGTCGGAGACCGCCTTCAAGGTCGAGTTCAAACGTTCGACCATGGATTCTCTTAAAGACTGGATCTGTGTTCCGCTAGTCCGCGCACCGGACACATACCTTTCAACGACTGTGCTGTCATGTACATGTAGTATGCAGATGCATACTACATGTTTTTTTTCTAGGTACATACATATAATGTAATGTAGTTATTGTTTTTTCGTCGTTTTAAGTCACTTTGTTCATTGTTTAGGTTGATTGATACAGTATCTCTATTTCAAGTAAAGTCTTTTAAATTGAAATGTGAGGATGGTATTTGTGGTAATGCGAAAAAATAACTAATTTTGTCTGTTGTTCTTTTACGCCTAAACGGCTGAACGGATTTTGAAGAAATTTGGTATGAAGGTAGTTTGAGCCCTGGAAAAGCAAGGCTTTACCGCGGCAGAACTTTTCATTCCCACGCAAAAATTTAAAAAGCGCGATATAACCGAATCCCACGCGAGCTAACAGCTATTTGTTTGTTTGCCTGTCTTAAACGGCAAAACGGAGGTACGAATTAACGTGATTTTTTAACTGAAGGTAGTTGAAGGGATGGATAGTCACATAGGCTGCTTTTTATCCTTTTGTGACGCGATCAAGGCCGTGGCCGTGGGTAAAAGCTAGTATTGTTATAATTATGAAGTCTAATACCAATCGCGTGTTATTCGACCAGAATGATATACTGCACACTGTCTGTCCTATACTGCAGACTTTTAAAAATCTGATAATATTCGATATTTGACGGCCGATGTCGCTAGCAGTGTCATTACATGACGCGGTACTCCAGGAGCGAGCGGGTGAGCGGGCGCGGCCGCCGCGAGCGATGTGGCGCGCGGCGCTGGCGCTGGCAGCGCTGGTGGCGCTGGGGGCGCGCGGCGCGGCGGGTGGCTGCGGCGTGGCGGAGTTCGCGTGCCGTAGCGGCGCCTGCGTGCGCCTGGACGCGTACTGCGACGGTGAGGCGCACTGCGCGGACGGCAGCGACGAGCCAGCGCACTGCTCCGTGTGCAACCGCACGTACTACGGCCGCGTAGGTGTGGCGTACGCGGTGGCGGTGCGCTCGGCACCGCGCGCGCCCTTCCTGTGCCACCTAACGTTCACGGCGGGCGGGGGCGCGCACGGTGACCTGGTACAGCTGGCCTTTGACGAGTTCCGCGTGGGGCGCTACGAGCCGGGCGCGATGGACGGCTGCCCCGACGGGTACATGCAGCTGTCGGAGCTCGGCCGCCCGTTCACCGGCGGGTCGTGGTGCGGCGAGGCGGATGGCGCCGCGCTCTACTACAGTGAGACAGCGACGGTCACCGTATCGGTGAAACTGTTTCGCGCACGTCTCGGGGAAAATTTTGGCTTCCGGTTGCGTTACAAATTCTTGGCTCAACGCGATGCTGTCGTCAGGTAAATAAATGTACTATCGACTTTAAATTATGACTTAGCATAAGCTTATTTATTTTCTTACAGATATTCAAGTTTACAGAGTGCCCCGCATCCGCAAAACAATCTTAAATACTACTTCTATCAATTCTTCTATAAATTGAAGCTCGAAAATCCTTTACTGTTATACTCTAATAGTTAAAATCAGAAAGTAGGCTATTACGAATATGTTAGCTAGATAAAAGCTTCATATCTGTTTCGCTGGTGTAATATTAAAAATATTCATTTTTTATATGAAGAGATACGAGAATGGTCAAAGTGGGTCATGCATGTTTCTAAGTGGATTATTCACTCGTCAGTACTTTCAAGCATGCGAAGGCTATCACTTCATCGATAATAATGAATTCATTGCGTAGCCACATACAAGTAGAATGGTTGCAGGTTCGGCGCGATGGAGGCTCCGCTGGAGCGCGGCGCCGTGTCGCCCGGCACGTACTGCACGCGCACGTACGAGGAGTGCCACCGCAAGCCGTGCCGTCTGCAGAGCCCCAACTACCCCGGCATGTACCCCAGGTACTGTCAGCCCTGCGTGGCCCGTGACAAGCCGAGTGTTTATACTCATTGTAATATTTTATGCTTATGTTCACAACAGAAACGTCACGTGCTACTGGAGTCTTCGCCAAAAAGACATTCCGACGTGTAAACATGCGATGATCTCTGTGCGACAAGAACATTCTCACAAGATGCAGATTAAGCGCTCGATATCGATGGCGAGGTAAGTGTCAGTCGTGGCGTGCGGTGTATGTACATGTGGTGTGTGTGTGGAGGCTGAGCGTGTGTGTGTGGCAGCCTCAACAAGACGGGACGCGTGGTGCGCGCGTGGCGCGAGTGCACGGGCGAGCGCGACCGCCTCATCTTCTACGACGGCGCGTCTACGGACGACCCCGTGCTGGTGGAGTACTGCGGCGGCGACTGGCTGCCGCGCGTGACGTCACGCGGGCCCGAGATGCTGGTGGCCTTCCACTCCTCGCCCTTCAGCGCGCCGCTGCGGCCGCCCGCACCCGCAGCGCCCCTGCGCGGCTTCGAGCTCGATGTTGACGTCGTCTTCGCCGACTCCGACTCGCTCGACTACGCTAGGTACGAACTACATAATTATGCACTACATAGTACTTGAATAACACTTTTATTTAACTGATACAGTTCAATACTCGTATGCGTACTGCCGTGCTTGTGCGAATAAGGATTCCTCAATATGTGCACATGTATGTGTACATGTGTTGTAGTGAAGTTAGAGTAGTTTCTAATATTTTGAAATAGGTCAATACATTGTTTTATAATAATTATACTTTGGACCATTGACGCTAGAGAGGCACGACGTTGCGAGTTTCACGTCAAAGCTTCATCGTCCGAGGAGGAAACGAACACTACCATTGCGGGCAGCGGTCGCGGCCGCCGGGGCAAACTGCGGGCACCCGCGCACACGCTGCCCCCCAACACCACCTGCACCTGGACGTTCCACGGCCGCCCAGGTAACGCGCCACGCCTGACATTCCCTCCTGTCCTGTAGCTTCCAGCGACGTATGAATGCGCTCACCACCGCTACTTTCTGTAGGAGATCTAGTTTGGATTTACTTCTCGAGCTTCACGCAATACTCACTGGTCGAGCCACGCCGCATCGAGAGTGCGGAGCGGGAGGAGGAGGGGGGCGTGGGCGCCACCCGGCCACGCTCTGGGCGCGCGCGACCTGCGGCCGGCGCCTGCGCGGTGGAGCTGCGGATCTGGGACGGCGGCGGGGCGGACGAAGCAGGGACGCGCGCGCTGGGCCGCTACTGCGACGCGGCGCCGGCGCTGTGCGCGCGCGCTGCGCTGGCCAATGCGACGCGCGCGCCGCGGCCGTGCGCGCCACCCGACGGGTACGTGTCGGCCGCGCCGCTCCTGTCACTGGCGGCCACCTCGCGCCCCGGCACCGCCACGCATCCGCTCGAGTTCGCTTTACATTACGAATTTGTGGACGCGCGGCTCGAAGGAGCTCCTCTGCCCGATGATGGCCGACGTCCGCGAGCGTTGCCGAACGATTGCGCTCGTTGGCTGACGACGCCAGGAGCGTTCGCGTCGCCGCGGAACGCTCTTTGGTTCGGGCGCGGGGGCGCGCGGCGGCTCCGCTGCGTGTACCGGCTGGAGGCGGCGGACGCGCGCGTGGCGCTGGAGTTGGTGTCGGCGTCGTTCGGTCGGGAGCCGCGCTGTGTGACGCGCTCGGACGCGCTCACCGGGCGCCTCGTGTGCGCGCCGGACCCACTGGACGCGCGCCCCGAGGATGCTGACGTCATCGACGAGGGTCTAGTCGACTTCGACGGTGATGATGATACCCCATTGCGAGTGCCTCATTTAAAGATATATGAATCTCCGTGGCCCGGATACAGGGTGAGCAATTTTTATTTCATCATTCTTTTCTATATTTATCAATAGTTTGGCCTGTACTGCCGTTTACAACATAGTGCGTTGTACGTCTTAACGAAACACGCCGACAGGTACTTGTTGCCTCGTCGCGTCCGCAGAAGAATTGTAACGAATGATGATCACCAGTGATCGGAATAGGGTGAGTATATTTTTTCGTAATATTTAAATTGTGAATACCTGTCGTTTTATAACGACTGTTTAAAAAAGGAGTGTTTTTTTGGTTCACGTAAGTTCGTTAGTCCACCATAACTCGTGATCTACCAAATGAATTTAGGTGCCGTAGCTGTCTCTTAAAACTAAAATAAATCAAATAACTAGAAAAATGAAACAAATCATAAATCATCATGATTTGATAATTATTTTAAAAGACAAATTGTTTTTGTAATTCATATAATTCTATTTGTTTCATTGAATGTAAAGAATTTACAGTCGAAATTGTTTTATAAAGTGGCTACCTTTTAACTTCAATGTTTTTTGTGCAATCAAATTGTGAAAACAGCGCGAAAAAAAAAGCGTGGTAGAACCCAAAACCAAATAAGAAAAAACAAGTACATATTGCCGCGAGTTACATAAAAAAATACAGTGTCACTCACGACACCTAAATTCATTTGGTAGATCACGAGTTATGGTGGACTAACGAAATAAAGATCACGTGAACCAAGAAAATGGTCCTTTTTTATTTAAGCAGTTGTTATAAAACGAATAGTATTCACAATTTAAATATTAATAAGATGTTGAAATTCACGTAATTAAAGTTCAAATAAAACCAGTAAAAAATTTTTGTTGTAAGGAAGTCTCCGATTTTAGACTCTGTTCTACAAACTGTAGGTAAATATACTCACCCTATTCCAATCACTGATGATCACTTTGGTCAGTGCAACTTATTCGATATTGAGGCATTCAAAAGGAAAGGTATGAAAGTGAATGTGGACAACATAAAAGTGAGGGTGATAGAAAGAAATGAGATAATAACAGAACTTCAGGTGGCGATAGGTGATGGAAAATAGGTAACAATATCATAATTGCATCTTCCCTATTGGAACAAGTGAATAAGTTTGTATGCCTGCGATCTCTATTTACGGATGATGGAAAGAGTGAGGGGGTATTGAAAGGAGAGTGACAGCGGGAAGTAGTGTCAATGGTGCCTTACACTTTGTAATGTCGAGTAAGTTGTATCAGCAAAGCCCGGCTTGACGTAATACTTACATCGTGTATTAACAAAAACGCTCATGTATGACAGCGAATCATGGGTATTGCAGAAGAAGCATGAAAGCAGGACTAATGCGGTTGAAATGAGAGCCCTGAGAAGTATGTGTGAAGTAAAATTAAATGATCGATAAAAATAGTGTTAAAAGAGAAAGGTGAGGATTCAAAGAGAATGTAGGGACAAGGATTGACAGGGGAGTGTTACGATCACAGAACATGTAACGATGATTTGGACATATATAAGGTGCTCTATAATTATCAGCCACGGCTTTAATGGGAGGTAGTGTTATGTTTACAGATTACAATTGTGAAGAAATTTCTCCCAGGCTCTAAAAATGCCGCCTGCTGATTTCCCTTAAACACTACCTCCCATTAAAGCCGTGGCTGATAATTATAGAGCACCTTATAGAAATGATGAATAAAAGCAGATTTATGGAAGAAGTACATAGAGCGGATATGTCCGGGCCGTCGGTAGAGTACTCGTAGTCGTAGTGTTAGAAGCGAGTGTAAAGTAGAGTGGCGGTAGGTGCCGGTGGCGTGCATCTGCGACAACAGCAGCGCGCCGCTGCGGCTGCAGTCCGGCGGCGGCGCGCTGGAGCTGGAGCTGGTCGCGCGCGCGCTCGCGCCCGCCGAGGACCACCGCCACCTGCACTTCCGCGGCACCTGGGCGCGCGCCCCCGCGCCCGCGCCCCCGCCCGCCTGCGCCGCGCGCCGCCGTCTGCCGCCGCCGGGGGCGCGCGTGCACCTGCTTTACCCGTACAGGTTGCGTATTCGCATTGTTTACATTACATGTTTGTTGTTTTATTAGGTGTTGTATAATATTGCCCTTTATAAATTCACGAAACATTTGCATGCAGTGGAAATAGAATATCAGAGTGCGGTGAGACACCGTTCCTTCTGGAGGCGAGAGGGAACCGGTCCGTGTTCCTGCGCGTGTGGGGCGAGGAGCTGCCACTGAGCGGGGGCGCGGGGGGCGCAGGCGAGCCGCCGCCCTGCGCCACCGCCAACCGAGTGCTGGTGTACGAGGCGCACTCGGCGCGCCTGGTGCGCGTCGTGTGCCCGGCGGCCGGGGGGCGCGCGCTGCAGCTGTTCTCGGCCGAGTGGTGGGGGCGCGGCGCGCGGCCCGGCGCGCTGCTCGTGGTGTGGGCGGCGCGCGAGCCCGGCGCCGCGCGCTTCTCGTGGATGGAGGTGTGGCGCGCCGGCCCGGCGCCGCGCCCGCTGGCGCCCGGCGAGGCGTGGCCCAACGCCAGCGCCGCCTGCGCGCACCCGTGCGCCGCGCTGGGCGCCTGCATGGCGCCGGCGCTATGGTGCGACGGCGAGAGCGACTGCCCGGGCGGTGGGGACGAGGCGGGCGCGTGCGGCGCGGGGGCCCGCCTGCTGGCTGCGCTGGCGGCGCCGGCGGCGGCGGGCGCAGCGGCGGCGGCTGCGTGCGGCGCGGCGGCGCTGGCGCTGCTGGTGGCGGCGCTGCTGCGGCGGCGGCGGCGCGCGGGCGCCGACAAGCAGTTGCTGGGGGCGCTGGCGGCGGGGCGCCGGCTGACGGAGGAGCTGTTGTTCGACGCGTCGCGCGCGTCGTCGGCGGCGTCGTCCTGACGGCGGGAGCGCTCCGTCGAGTACATCCACGTGGACCGCGAGACCACGGTGTGACGGAGCGCCCCGCCCTCGCGATGTGATACGGTGTGCACTAGTTCTCCTGTTGCGTTGTTTCCTTGGCGGCGCGTGTCTGCCACTTTGGTTTATGGTTGCGTGAACTACTTGGCGCGCTCGCCGCGTGTGTACTCCCAATGTAAAGTGAGAATTGGTTGTGAGTTGACGTTCGGCCAACAAAGCTCATTGGTGCGCCCCCCGTGGTGCAGTCGGTGGCGGTGTGCGGAGGACACTGAACTCGTCTCATAGAGGAGCGTCGCTCGCGGCCTGTACGTACGACCGCGGAGTGCGCTCTGTTGCTCAACTTATTGTTTGTTTCCTTTGTTGTGTTTGGTTGAACTGTTAATATATTTATTGACGAACTATCCCGTCCCTCGTTTCACCTAAGTTATGAAACTAAAATAAAACACATAGTTCAAATCTAAGAACATAATTATTGTAATCGTTTTATTTGTGTATCCCTCGCTGCCCGGACTAGTAGCCGGACGGACATGTCCCGCCCGAGTACTCGTACCTACTTATAATTACGTAGTTCGCAGTTCACAGTGTAAGTGCACGTAGGAAGTGATCTGATACTGAGAGTTTAAGCTCAACTTGTGTGGTTCCAAGCAACATACCAACATACACACATACACGGACTGGTGCACTGGTAATACAACGCCGTGTACACGTATTTTAATATTTAAACGACATTTCATTTACAACCATGTCTTCGCAATATTTCAATGGATGCCTTAATATACACACACACAGACACAGTACCGGTCGCGGTGGCGGCAGTGACACTTACATATACAGCCGCAAAAAGTTTTCCGAAACAATCAGTAATTGTATGTTGTTAATGTAAACGTGTGAGAAACGCGGCTCGCGACAGTTTTGTTCGCATAACTTAATTGGGAAGGCGACGCGGCCTTCGTTGACACATCGTATTAGCAATCAGCGGCGGGGGGGGGGGGGGGGAGGGAGAGGCGAACAAACACAGTGATTGCGGCGCCCTCCGCGCGGCCGCGCCACACGGCCGCCAGCCGCCGCCGCCGCCGGAGCGACAGGACGATGCAAGACATGCCAGCTTCATTAATTTTTCAAAAATTCATTTGATTGAACTCTGGTTTCAGTGACGCGAGCGCCGTCACTCCGTGGACACGTAGATTTTTTTTAAGGGGGTAATCATCGTATTACTGCTCCCGCCTGGGTGAGGCGGGAGGGAGTGTCAGACTCTCACTGACTAAAAACCACCCCGTTCCTTCTCCTGCACGTCGAGCCGGAGCCCCGTTTACCCGTTAGGTTCTCCGCGACTCCGAATCGGCATCGGCCCTGTTGAGCCCCATCTGTGGTGGTCTGATGGCTCTTTGAGGCGCGCGTGGAACGCGACGCGCCGTACGCTCGGGTCTGTTTCTGGTCGGACGGGGAGCCACCCATGCTCGCCGTCCTCAGGCCCGCGCCTACGGTGGCCGGAGATCGTCCCGCGATCCCCGACGCCCGGTGTGTCCTTTGCGATGGCTGGGTTGCGAGGAGGCAGCGCTTCACTGCCTCACGCGTCCCGCCTCCTCCTTAGCTAGCATAACTGCTTCGCAAAAGGGGAGACGGCATCCCAGTCCCCCTCGCTCCGCATCATGGCCTGCACTAGGCCCGGACGTGAGAGGTCGCCATCGCCGATCACTTCCCTGAGGGCACGGCGGTACTCAGCCCACGCAGGGCATTCCCCCACTGTGTGTTCCACCGTGTCCTCAAAGCGGTCCTCGCAGTGAGTGGACACGGAGCTAGCGCCGAGTGTTTGCAGGCGACGTACAAGTGACATTACAATTCGTAACGTCGTTACCAATCAGCGAGTCGGTACAGTTTGCTAGTTTAGACTATTTGTTAGAGCGCGGCGCTGCCTGCGACACTTGTTAATTAACTTATGGTTTCAAGACTCCCAGAACAATATGATTAGGTATTTAACTTGGTTTCATTTGTCTACGAATATACACAACAACAATCTACAGTTTGTTTATTGAATATTCATAAATAGAGACTGATAAGAAAACTTAATCAGTTAGTTTAGTTAAAATCTGGTCCTTAGTGGCCTGCAGTGTGGAGCAATGAAAGAGACGTGTTACTGTTAGGAATAACTTTAATGGAGTCTCTTAATATCTAACTTACTCTACTTGCTTATAGGGCGAGGTGTCACACACACTACAGGCCGCAACATCTCACACATACACACACATACATACACTATGCAGTTTCATGTACCTACAGTTTATTTTATAAGTTGTATATTTGGCGTAAGTTATTGGTCGGCTTATAATATTTAAGAGCTAAGTCCTAACATAAAAGTACCTCTATTGAAGAATGTGATCATTATTGGATGTTATTACTCAGTATACGTACGGTTAGCACAGGCGGTGCGAGCCGGCGCCGGCAGTATCAACAACCGGCGCGTGCATTGTGCGGTAAATAGGACACAATCCCATTTGATGGGAACAACGAGCGCCAGTTGTACACAGCCGTGCGAGCCCGGCTCCGACAATGGCGGCGGCTACTAATCAGGGAGCACAATGTACCGCCTCCACCGCCCGCCGCGCGCTCCACCGCCCGCCGCGCGCCGCGCCCGCCGCCCGGCCTCGCACGCACCGCGCGATGTACACTGTGGCGGACGCACTATACAAGTCGCGGTACTGTAGCCTAGTACTGGGAAGCGCCGCGTCAGTCTATACACGGGTAGCTTATTTTATGCTATAAATCGGCAAACAAGCAGAAAAGTCGCTGAGTCAGCATGACCCACTGACACCCACAATACCAGAGAAGTTACAATAGCATTGTCGACCGTTTGTGTGGGATTTGGCAGTATTAGGCCTACGGAGCTGAACTTATGATGGTGCTTATACAATGTCAATGAAGCGTTTGCGATCCACTTAAAGTAATATACTAGCTACTAGCGCGGTTCGACCCGCTGCTTGGCTCCAGTTGGTCGCAGCGTGATGTTTTATAACAATACGACTCAAGTCACAGAAATAATTCATTATGTTCAAAAATACGGGTTACTATTTTGTCGTACTCGTATTATTACGGGAACCACGGAACCACACACAACAAAAGAACCAGTTATTATAACGAAATCAACTTAAAAACCAAGTACTAAAAACAAACAAATGGTGAAAACTAAAATATGTCATAATTATGTTATGTGATGGGTTACCGACCCACTGATAGACAAGAAGTCTGTGCCCGAAACCCTTTGTCGGATGTCTCTATACACACTGCCTTGCCATACGTGTTCGGTACAGACAAAAAGCAATGAAAAATGCATAAATTAAATCCCGACAGTGACATGTCGATAGATTCTCTATACCTTGCACGCCACACCATGTTCCATACTCATTGTCTAAAAGCAACAAACACGGCGACGCTGAAACTGCCCGCGGCGGGCGCCGGGGCGAGGCCGGCGCGACCGGCCGCGTAATTTAATTTGTAACTTTAATTATTTTAACCTTTTATCGTCCCGCACTGTACCTACATACATAATTCATGCGGCCACGCTGTGACAACACGCTGAATTAACTAACAACACTATTTGTACGGAACAAATGTAATTACACGACGGCCGCCTTGCGGTGTAAAAGTTAACTTAATTGTAGTCTCGCGATCCTACTATTTCATTACCGCAACACAGCGCAGCACAGCACGTCGCAGCATAGCACAGCACGGCGCAGCATAGCACAGCGCAGCACAACACAGCACAGCACGGACACCGAGTGTATCATGAACGTGTGTGTGTACAGCTCTGACACACGCGCCAGCTCCCAGCTACTTTGAACTGACACAAAACTACAATCCACTCAATTGTCTTGACTACGAATTTATTCATTCATACTAAACTGACTTCTGATACCGACTCCGCAATTCCTGACCAAAGACAATTTTTATATTCCCTTTGTGATAGGAGTTCCAGGAAACTATCTTAGATCATACCAAGTTTCAGTTTCCTATATAGATAACGTAGTGTGAAGTGTGCATTTTATTTCTGTTTAATGTGACTGTAAGGGCTAATAGCACCCGTTCAGCAGAGTTGTCAGATGTCAGGTAGTGCGGCAAAGTAGCAAAGAACTCAAATAAAATGTACATTTGACATATACAGTGCTAGCTTGTACAGTGACTATTTTTGACTTTCTGTTCGTTTATTTTGTTGTGTGTATTATAATGTTTGTTTAATTAATTATTTTAAATTGCTAATTGATGTCTAATTGGTGGCGAGTTTGTCTGCGAGTCATTTAAAGCGCCAGTAGAATACCAGCGCTAAACCCCCGTCTTGCACATGCTGAACCGGTCCCATTTCACCGCAGATTTGGGACATGAACAGGTACCTCTCAGTACTTCCAGACTAACATTATTATAATCTGAATATGTCACTTGTGTTTAGCGTGTGAATTAAATATTTTTTTCTTTCTTCATTTGGATTGTCACAGTCAATAATGGAAGACTGTTATAGTGTGAGTTCTGTTATAATGTAAGTTATTGAATGGTGAATCAACAGCTACATTACACAGATTTAGCAGAAAAATAGTAACATTGAGCCACTTACAGATTGACACGAATACTGACATAATAGGTAACAGCTAAGATATAATTAAAATTATAAATACATCAAAAACAGGCAAACACCAAGAAAATTATTTAAATAAAGAAAAATGGTAAATACATATTTAAAATAAAAAAAAAAACAAAAATCAGCTATTAAAAAAGTCTCCACTTATCATAGTTCTAGCTTTCCTCAGGCTTGTACAAAAGATATCTATATCATGCTTGCTACTGATGTTAAAAGTACGACAGGCTCGACACAAGAATGAGTTTTGCCTGTAGTTACTGTTTGCTACCGGAGCACAAAGAGGTGCGTGCCTCCGAAAGGACTTCGATGGAACATTGAGGGACAACTTTTCAAGGAGTTCAGGGTAGTCAACTCTACC